TAGAAATCATTCATAACTTAATGTCAAATCATTAATAAATTAATAATAAATTATTGATAATTTAGTAACAAATTATTAATATCTTAATAATAAATCATTAATAACTTAATTATCAATTAATGATAACTTTTTTTTTTATATATGAAGTTGTCAGGAGTTAAACCCTGGTTACTAGCAAAAATGAAGTCAAAACATTTATTTTGGGGTTAGGATAGACCTAACATGAACTTATTTAATAAAAATTTGGTAAAAAATTTTAAATTTCAATAGAACAATAATATTAGTTATCTCATATATTATTAATAGACGTTTTAAATTTCATGTTTTATAATTGTAAATGTATAACAACATATTAGTAAATCAATGATAGGTTAATAAGAAACAAGTAATAACTTAATAATTAACGATTGATAACTTAATAATAAATTAAGGATAATTTAATAGTAAATTAGTGATAACTTAATCGTAAATCAATTTTAATTTAATAGTAATTAATTAATAAACTTAGTAATAAATTATAAATATTATAGTAGTAAATCAATGATAATTTAGTAATTAATTATTACAAATTTAAAAGTAAATTAGTATAACTTAGCAGTAGTAAATTATCAATAACTTAATAATTAATCACTGATAACTTAATAATAAATTATGGATAATTTAATATAAGTTAGTGATAACTTGATAATGAATTATAGTTAATTTAGTAATAAATATGTGATGATTTCGTAGTAAATAAAAAAAAAACTAAGTAGTAAATTAATGATAATATAGTAGTAAATGAATAATAACATAATAATAAATCATTGATAATTTATATGTAAATTATTTATAATTTAATAGTAAATCAGGAAAAACTTAATTGCAAATGAATGATAATTTAATTGTAAATAAGTGATAATTTTGTCGTAAATGAGTTAATCATTGACAATTTTAAAGTAAATTATCAATGAATTAATAATAAATCAATTATAACTTTATGATAAATCAATTATAACTTTATGATAAATCATTAGCAACTTAGTAGTGAATCATCAATAATTTATTAATATATCATTCATAATTTACTAGTAAAAGTTTTTTATAAATTAATAGTACTTGATTGCTAATTTAGTAGTAAACATTGATAATTTAGTAATATATCATTAATAACTTAGTAGTAAATTATTGATAAAATATCACTAAATGAATGATAATTTAATTGTCAATTATTAATAAATTTTTTATACTTGAAGTTGTTAGGAACTAAACATTGATTACTAGCAAAATGATATTACAAATTTCATCTTGGGAGGTTAGGATAAATCTACTGCGAATCCAAAAATGAAAAAATTTAGTGAGAAAATTCTAAATTTAAATGAAATAGCAATATTATTATATAAAAAAAATTATCTTATACTAGAAATGAACCCTTACTTTCTTGTAGGAATCCATTGTTAAATATGTGATGTCACAAATTTTATTAATAATTACCAAAAGTGCGTAATAAGTTAGCATAAGATTACTAAAATTATATCAAGAGGAAGAGGTTACCAAAATTTTATAAAAAAAATTATCAAAATTGTATCAATGATTATCAAAATATATTATAAGTTATCAAAGAAATATCGAAGGTTATTAAAATTATATCGAATGTCACTAAAATTTTATCAAAGGTTATTGAAATCAAAATTATATCAAAAGTTGTTAAATTGACTTATAATATAAAAAATACAAATTAAATTATTAGTATTTATCATTATTATCAATAGTATATAAAAGTTATCAAATTTTACTTATATTATACCAAAATTAAAATTAAATTGTTAGTATTTATTATCATCATAATATCAAAAAATTTATTTATTAGGATAAATTTTTAAAAATAAAAATTACATTAGCGTCATGCACGTGCTTATGACTAATATATATATAATAGAAAAGCAATAAGTACAGACATGGCCATTTTTAAGGAAAACACAAAGCAATAAGTACTTTCTGAAAGAACTTGTAATAGAAAAGCAGAGTTCTTCCCGCAGTGGTCATTTTTATATTATCGGATTCTGAGGTTTGTTAAATGGATGTAAGTTTTGTAGTAAAAGCATGCAAAGTGAGCGAAAAAGTTTCTGATTTTAAGCATAAAATAAGAGCAACAGGAGAACAGACACGGCCACAAGAGCATATTCCACGGTAAAATTCAGAAAGCCAGAAAACCATGTATTTGGCATTGTGGCTTACTGAAAATCCTAATGAAAATGAAAATGGTGAAGGATATAATAAATTGATTTCTGTTTGTCAAATTATTATATTGATCCAACATTCAGCTTCATTACTGAAAGACCCAAAAGACGCTTGCAGCGGAGTGAATGAAGGGTTTAGCTTTGTTAGGTAGCAATATCATCAGTGATTCAGTGCAAACAATAGCATACAACATACAACAGGAAAAATATTGGCTGTTTGAATCACATTTGTTTAATTTTGTAAGAAAACTAAACCCATTAGCTAGAAGGTGTCACTTCTTTATGCTTAGAGATTGATCAGTGGGCTTTTGATTCAGTATAGGAGGGCTGCCAGCATAAACTCACATGATTCAAGGCTGTGATGTCACTTTGCCTTTTTCATCGATCCTCATGAATCTAGGATGAATAATGACTGTATCTGAATCAACTTTGTTCATATGAACGACAAGAGATAGAAGTCTTGAAGATATAATTGTGTAATATATTGATTTTATTGAGCAGGAAGCAGCAAAATGCCGCCTACAAAGATTACTACGTACTCTAATTATGGATCTCATCACCATGGCAGAGAACTTGTAATCCAGCCCTCCACCATTCAAAGAATGAGGTTGATGCAGTTCTGTCTTCATTCTTTCTTGCAGTTGTTGGGGTTGGTATCCTCTGAAATAGAGGGGTACCCCAGCAGCAAGGGGCCTCTCTTCTATTTCTATACTATGCTCTGCTATTACACATTCTTTACACCTATGAATGCAATTCAAGTGTAGGAAAGGCAAAAAAAAAAGGAAACAAAAAGCATCTCTATGCCTGGTTCTCATGTGTATCTTTCCTCGGTTAGAAAGAACTTCTTGCAGTTTGCACAAAGTTCGTGCACCGTAAAGCATTCTTGTCCTCACCACAACATTCATCAACTTCCAGTCAAATGAAGCAACACAGTTCACAATCTGCAAGAAAAAGGTCAAGTCAGTTCTATAATACACGCAAAACCAGATTTATCTCAATACCAAAAACTGGCTTCTGATAGGTTTTACTGCCCAAACTTAATATTGATTGGGGCTTCAGTAAACAATATTAACAAGAACTCTTCACCCTGGATGCTGGAATATTGACATCAGAGATCAAATTCACATGTTCAGTCATCGGACTTTTCATTTATTACAAATATTTGGCCGAAACTACATTTTGTAAACTAAAACTCTTATCCCAGAAAAGTGCCCCCATACCCTGCCCCTTGAAGAGAAACGGAAATACTTTTATGATACATTATTAAGAGTTACCTGGCGGAGTACCATAGTAGAGTCTCCTATCGTCCACATGCTCCACATCTAAACCGATAAACCAAGATCCCAATGAAACATCTTCATCAGCATATTTATGCAGTACATTCCTGAGATAGAGCATAATTATTATCACTAGAGGCAATAACAAAGTTTTGACACTTCTTGAAGCATCTGAGATTAGAACTTTGGAATTGAACATGTGGTCCATGGGGAAGACCATGATTCTACAGCTTGACAGATGCAACTGGAACTAAAGACTCTGTTTTAGTTGCTAGTTCAGTAACGGGATAGGCCAGCTTCCTCTCAGTTGAAGTGCGCTCATCAACCGATCAAATACAACAGGCTTGAAATCATACCAAAGAGAAAAGAAAAGTATGAACTCACTGATTTATTGATATGTAAGTGGCCAAATCCTTCAATGTAGCATATCGAAAATATTAGTTTCCAACCTCACCGAATTTCCAGTACTCAGGTTCATGGTGTTTCATTCCTCTATTAAATAAAGAGCATATATATCAGAACAACCAAATATTGCCCATATCTTAATATAAGCTAATTTAGAAAGCACAGCACTCTGCTTACTTTCGAGCAAGAACAGGACCAGATTTCATGCAGCCGATATAAACTAGACGTTTCTTTCTATGTCCAGCTAAAGTCATACCAAGTGTTGCTGCAGTTATCTTCTGAACCATATCACAGGTAAGCACTAATAACAACAGAAAGAATGGGACAGAACAGAAGTATTACCAATCTCAGAAAATCTCCATGCACCTTCTCCTCGGCTTTAACGGCTTTATCAAGAATTACACCTGATGTTGAACTGGAGGAAAGGCCAACCAAATAAATTCGCTTCCTACTTTACGCTCAAATAGTTTACCAACACATGAGACTTCTTCACAAAAGAATCATTGGAACTTGCAATTTTTGTGAAGATAAAACTACCAGACTCAAGTTAACTGGCAATGTTAAGCATGAAGCTTTTACATGCAGTTGCTGGAGAAAGTATAGCAAACAGCCAAAGTATTTTAGAAGGATCAGACAGTATAGGCAGAAAGGGTGGAAATTACCTGTGACCTATAACGAAGCGTATGATGACAACTTTCTCTTCCTACAACTTTTTTCGCTTCTCAGCTGGGACATTTATAGTAAGATTCCATTTATCATACGTCAAGAGGAAGATCAGAGGGAAAAAAGAACCATTAAACTAAATAATTCCATGAAAACATTAATTTACCTTGAGAGATCCATGTTGCACGCACTGAATCTCTCCATTTACGACTACGAAAAGCAGCATTGAATCCTATAATCATAAAATATTTTCTTTTTAAAGCTGATTCAACATTCTTCAAGTCCTCGGATATCAGAGGGACTTTCATAATTGTCTCCCTTTCTGCCCTAGCGGCCGCTAATTTCACCTCCAAATCTGAAATGGCTTTATCCACAGTCCTACATTCCATGTACAGCAATAAGTTACGCATTTAAGGCCACATTAGAGTACAATACCTCAAATCCAGATGTAACAAACTTCAGCTTGGCTTACTGAATAGAATGCAGGGACCGTGGAATGCCTCTAAAGCTATTGGCTTCATTCTTTAAACCTTCTAAGTTTGAGAAAAGAATGAATATTACAAACAATCAATTAGCAGTTAATAAAATCCAGATAGCAAAGTTTCGCACTAAACTAAAGAGAAAGTTAAGGCGGTACAAGCCATTAGAGTAAAAATTGCTATTCTACTAAAACGTATGGCTAATCCTTGTTTCTTTCATGCCCACAAGCAGGCTCTTCAAAGCTCAAGCATATAGATAAGTAAAACGTGTAACAAAAAACACTCACAATTTTCAGATCACAGTCCATCCCCAATTCTAAATGTTCTCCGAATGCCTTTGGCATCGGGCACCATCCACATCCTGATTCAGTATTTTGCATAATTAAAATGATCAGTATATTCTATAAGTAAGCCATGGCAAAATTAAATCTTGAACATCTCAATTTAGAAATCTTTAGACATCTCACTTTTCTGGAACATTAACAAAAGAAGTTTAGCAGACACCTGTATCAATCTAGATAACTTTGTTTAGGCAAAGGTTTTGAGTTTTTCATTTTTAACAACATGACATAGAAAATCTAGTAGGTTGTTCCCCTGCAATAATCTCCTAGAAATTGTCAAGTAAAAAGACAAAATGAGGTAAATACTAATCTTTAAATTTTAGACAATTAAGACTTTATTGTAGCACTATTCAAAGTTCTAGCAATTCAACCGATAAGTCACAGCTACTAACTTCAGCACTTGATCTTGACTACAGCTTTCCCCTTGCAAAAGGGTGGTTGAGAAAATATTACAGTACAAGGGAAAAAAGATGCAAAGGAATCGAAATATCCCAAACTTAACTCTATCCTACCCAGATTAAGAACAGCAGAGAGAGAAACATGTATACAGTTTTAAACCCACTAAAGCCACGATTCCTGGAAGTGGTACAATGCAAATAATTAGTTTAACAGTAGTTTGCTTTGCTCCAGAATCATTTATAGTAAACAATAAAAGAAAGAAAGTCCTAATACTAAAAACTTATTTATTTTTGGATAACTTAACATTCATACACAATAATTATCACAATTTATAAGCATGCTCATCAAAGTACTTCCTAGAACTCCTTTCACGAGATCTACCAAATTCTGAAAATTCATTAAAACCAAATGGACCAAAATGCATCATTTAATCAGCCACAAAAAAAAAAAAAAGCAACTAAAAACTGCAACTTGAGGGCTAAAACAAATGAAAAAATAGAAAATGGATACAAGATAGTGGAGGCTGCTATCATCACTAGGACACAAGATAGTGGAAGCTACTATTTAGCATTTTTTAATCTATGGTTAATTTGAAGCCAGAAGAAAAGCAGAAATTAAAATTAATATTTTTATTCGCACCAATCCTCTTCGAATATATTTTTTTTGAAGTATTCATTATAAAAATTTATTGATTGATTTATTAATTTTATTGATAACAAGGATGGAAATCAAAATTTAAAACCCACCACAAAAAAATGTTTTATTCCCCTACACTTCAACAGAATCCTATTCGAGTTTTGGGTCTATATAAACAAATTGCATTGGAAAAGAAAAACAAACAAACCAATACAGGCAAGCCTTCCCTCTAATATCACCCTGTCATAAACCTCAAAAACCACAATGCAAGCCACAAAGGATAACAAGGATCAGAAAAACAAATTGGAACAAGTGTTTCGAGCTTACTCTAAGGAGGGCAGCCTCACCAGGAACCAGCTCAAGGATGCTTTTGAACATCTAGGTGCACTCACGCCAAACAAGCAAGTGGAAGAGGCCATGGACGTTGCTGATAAAAATAAGGATAATTTGATCGACTGCACCAATGATGAGTTGGATTCTCTTGTTGAATATGCTTGCAATAAAGGCTTTAAAGGTTCCGCTTAAGTGTCGATGGATCAACTTTCAGCCGACGTACGGGGGATGCTTATGACTGATGAAAAATAAATATATAGCTTTGGGTCTTTTCCTTCATGTTGTCTCAAAAACATGATGAAATTAAAATAAAATAAAACCCCTGTTTTTATGTAATTCTATGTATAATTTTGCATGCTTGCGTGCCTCAACTATCAAGTACCATAAACATGTTGTTTGTACTATTATAAATTATAGACTGATATTTTTATTACTTAAAAACTTAAACAAAAAGTTTGAGGAAACTTAAAAGTAAACCTATTCAAAGGAAAAACATACAATATAATATATATATATGAACTTAATTTAAATGCTTATTTTTTTAATTTTTATACATATTTACACATATGCTTTTGTATGCACATGCGTACATATACACACATATATATATGTGTGTGTGTGAGTATAGAAGGAAATGGTTTTGATAAAATTGAAGCTATTTGACAAAAAAATTGAAGTACATACTGATGTCGACAGGCAAAGGAAAGTTACATTCTAATAAGAATTAGAATATCAAAATGAGTTAATTAGTTGTAGGATTTCAAATGAAATTTCATTTATGAAGGTAACTTCAAATATCAAAAGTTGAAATACCTGGTTTACCAAAATTATATATATCTGAATTTTATTTTTGGAAATAGTTAAATTCTTTTGTAATTTTATTAAAATGTTTGCGAAGCATATATAAAGGATTAATTAGTAGTGTCTTTTGTGCATTGCTTTGGTTTAGAAAACACAATTTTACATTAATTTAAAAAGCCATTTATTTTATTATGAAATTATTAATTTAATCTTTTAAATTATTTTTCTATCCTACTATTAATTAATTCATTTTTAATAATAAATTTGACCCTTTCTTATTTCATAAATGTTTCTTACAAAATTATTACAGTGAGATGATGCTATTATAATTTGGTAATAAGTCATATTTTTTAACTTTTATAGAGGCTTCTTATTATCTAAGCCCAAATTCCCCACTATATTTTGCACATTTTATAAGATAGTTTTTAGCTTTTTACTACTTGATTTAAATGCATTATTATATGTGCATATATAATGTAAGATGATATGTCATAATTTAAACTTTGATCGTTAAAATTAAAATTTAATATTCTATTAACATCTCACACTACTGTTACCATTTTGATAATAAAATTTAAAAACTCCACTACTACAAGTGAATGTGATAATTTTTATAATATAAATGTATGAGCATACATACTTAAGTTTTAAGAACCATAAATTTTGGTGAAATATATTTTAGGCCTGATGAAGAATTCAATTAATGAACAATTAGGCTCAACACAACCTCAAAGAAATCCAATAACTACTACAAGGGTTTAGGTTTTTAGTGGCATTTTTTTTAACATTTAGCGAGGTTTATAAACGCCACTAAAAGATTTTCAGCACTTACAAAAAATGTTACTAAGAGTGTTGGCTATACTCGTGTCGGGGAAAATAGTGGCATTTTTTATAAAATGTCGCTAAATTAGCAGTATTGTATATGAAAAAGACCGCTAATTTAGTGGCATTTGTATAAAAAAACACCATTAATATGGTGGTGTTTATATGATAAGACATCAGTAAATTACAGCATTTGTATCTAGAAAATACCGTTAAATTCACTACTAATTTAGTGGCATTTGTATAAAAAAAATGCCACTAATTAAGTGACATTTTTATGGTATGAATGCCGCTAATTTAGTAGCATTTTTTTTTTTATAAGAATGCTACTACTTTTAGTGGTGTTTTATGGTACAAATTCCATTAAATTTAGAATTTAGTAGCATTCTTGAACGTCAATGCTGTGAAATTAAGAAATTTACTTTTTTAATAAAAATTTCTGTTAATATTTATTATTTTCATTAACAAGAAATGTTAAAAGAAATAAAAATAAACTTAAATTCATAAATTGAAATTAATAAATATTTAATTCACTTTCAAATATGCATCTAATTAACACAAAGTTTAATAATTAGTATAATAACATTCAGATTTTTTTAATACATTCTAATTAACACAAAGTTTAATAATTAGTATAATAACATTCAATTTTTTTAATACATTAACCAAAAAAATTAAAATGTATGAAATTGATGACTGCATAGATTTGGAAGACTGTCATTTGATGAAGGAATTTTTTCACCTTGATAATTGGCATGGTCAAGAACCTACTGAATAATATTATACAAGTTTTAACACTTAATAATGAGCTTTTTTTATAGTAAAAAATATAAATATTTACTAAATATAATACCTGAGTTGGTGGACCATCGAGATTATTTCTTGGAAATTGTTGTTGCACAAAATTCATAAAATTATTGAATCGATCATGCAACTGCTAAAATTTTACATGTTTTTGCTCCATTCTAGCATGTTTTTCTTCAATTTTGGCACGCTTCCGTTCTTTTTCTGCTTCCATTTGCTGGAAATATTATTGCATAGTTTGTAACTCCTTTCTCAATATGGAAATATCTTGCGAAGATTGATTTGTTGAGAATATAAATTGCTAAAAGCTATGTCCATAGTAGATAGATGGTGTTGGACCCAATCCAAGGCCTCGAACCCGTCCATGTCTTTCTTTTTCAACAACTTTTGTGAAAATCTGATTTCCAATTCTTGCATATTGTTAGAATCATCATATGCTACTTCAATCTC